CCCCCACAGCTGCAGATTAACAGCACAGCAAACGCCTGCATGTGTGGCGCGTGCTTTCTGTGGCGCCAGAGATGGGTCTGCTGTGCCACATACTGCACATGTACACCTGTCAACCTGCCCCAGAACTCTTTCCAGGCTGGATCTGCAGGGTCAGTAGCATCTGAAGTGGGTCCAATGGTAGGGGGCCAGAGTGACAGCAGGTTCTGTCAGACACAGGACAAATGAAGTCTGTATCTGCACATCCCTTGCTAGGTCCCTGCAGCAGACAGCCATGTCCAAATCCAAATTCTGTAGCAGGCCATGGCCTTCCCCCTGCCCCCACGCTCCAGCTTCCATTAGTTCAGTGGGCTAGATGGAATAATTCCATAGGCTGCATCTAGCCTGTTGACCGTACACTTGAAGTAAGGGGCCTATGAGAGAGAAAAGTTTATAATCAGATATTTAAATGTTTGCTTAATAAATTATGCATGATGGGGCAGGATGAAGGTTGCATATGCAGTACTGAGTGGTGTTTCTTAAACTGAGTACTTGATTTATGGTGTTAAGTTCTTTTAACGTTATTCCTTGTGTATTAATTCCCTGGGATATTTTTTAAACTGGGAAAATAACCCACCTAACTTAGTCCTGTCTCATAATATCGACAGCTAACATGTCTCAGCAGTGGGGACCCTGGTTTTCTCAGATTAAAAAAAAACAAACAAACCCAATTTTCGGATAAACCTATGGCCTGAAGGCTGGATGCAACTCACAAAACCCATGTGTACAGCCTGTCATTGGCATGATCTTGCCAGCATAGTTCCTGTCAGAGCTCCCTATGAACAGTGATCTCTCTGAGCTCAGCTGGCTGTCAGCACAGGCTCTGGCTAGAGCCACTGTCCATGTGGTTTGGGTCAAGAGGGTGAATGCTGCCGCCACCTATCCTGTCTTTTCCCCTGCTGCTTAATTCACTGTGTGTGGAAGCAGGGAGGAAGAGGGTATAGCCCTCATCTCTCTCCTGGACTGTGACCCATGTCTGATTTTAGTGATTTGTCACAGGCTAGCTGGGCACTGTGAGTGTATCAGTTTTATCACAGGCCAACTGGGCTGTTTAATTCAGTTTTGGATCGAGGAGGCAAAGTTAGGAGTGAAGTAAAGGCACTGTAGTGTGTGTATTATAGCTTACACACACACTACAGTTAACAGAAAGATAAATGTGATAAGCAGATAATGCAGTATTAAAGAGCTAATAGTAAATAATAACAACAGATAGATCAATTCTGTCGCAGGCCAACTGGGCACTGCGAGGGTATTAGCCACTGGGCTGTTCAAAACAATAGATAGACATGGGTTGGCAACTTATCGATAGTCCCTCGATGCCAGGTACGTGTCAAGTGATTCCAGCGAAGTCAGGCATCCCCGATTGAAGCTGTCGGAGGTTACCGGGGAAGATCCCTTGATCAGGATCCGATCCTCACTCGCACTGGCAGTCCGGGGTCCGGGCATAGAACAGCAGTGACCGTTCTGTTCCCTTCTTCCTGCTGGTCACCTGATGCGTGCACTTTATATACCTAGTCTTATGTTAATCTGTTGGCTTTAGAGCCACTCACAATGTTACTCTATAGCTGTTACCCAATGGGATTGAAAGTTGTTAAAAATTATCATAAAAGGTTACTACCCAAACTCGGGTTTATCCAATAAGCAAATTGATGCAGCACCTTTAGGTTTGAAATTGACATTGCTCCGCCTAAGCCCCAACCCCTTTTAGGTTTCATTTGAATATGCTTTCTTGGGACGTGCTTTCTTGGAATGTCTTGGGTGTGCCAGGCAGTTGGATCCAGTTTTTTATTGCTAAAGTTGAACCCTGAGCAGAAACGGTTAGGTCAGCTAATCTCACAGCTACAGCTTTGCCTGTGGGGCCCAGTCAGTTCCACGAACAGTTAATTTATCATTTTGGTTAAACTTATGACAGACAAGTTACATTTGCGGTTTACAAACTTACAGGCTTTATATTAACTAATATTACCTGTTTAGGCAAAATACCAAATGCCTCCAAGAAGCATATATTATATTTATTGCTTATTAATCCCTCTGGTTCTGGCTGTTACAGTGATTGGCCTCATTTTAAATGTTGAGTACCACCATTTGGGCTAACAATAACCGATGAGAATAATAGGTTGGTATACCCTTTATGTGCCCTCTACTGCTGGTCTAATGAGGCTCGTGGGTTTAGTAAATATTTGTTGACAGCAGCATTACAAGTGGCCAGGGTGGCCAGGCTCCAACTGCATGCAGTTTTGGCTTTGTCCTTCATTTGCTGCACACAGCACTTCTTCAGCTTAAAGAAATGATGCAGTGAGTATAACTAGAGATCTTTTAATCATTGTCAGCTGGCAGATCAGATTGGCTGGCAGAGGGAAAGTGCATACATAGGTGTTATATGTCCGAAGTATGGTAGAGTAAGAGATGTAACTGCATCTTTGTTATACACTGAATAACTGTATAAACTAATCAGATTCTAATGATTTAAAAAGAGAACGAACACTGGTTACCACATAGGCATCCATGCAGGTGCACCTTATTTCACTACTTTGGCATCTCAATAAGCACTCAAGGACCATCCCCCTTGAGACCTAAGGATGGAGAAGACCTGATCAAGGAAAGGGGAGCCATCAGTGCCCGCTGGAAGAAGCATTTTGAAGATCTTTTTAGTTGAACGACTGCTGCTGATGAGAGCGTTCTCAACTCCATTCCTCAATACCCAGTCAGAGATTATCTCAGAATCCCTCCAACTTTTGACGAGGCAAGGAAAGCCATCAAGCAGGTGAAGAATGGCAAAGCACCTGGAGCTGATGAAATGCCCACCAAATTCTTCAAGTAGGCGGGAGAGGAGCTCACATCACAGCTCCGTGCCCTTATTCCTCTATCCTAAGGATCTGGAATGATGAGAAAATCCCCAGACAGCTTCGGGGATGCCATGATTGTGATAATCTTCAAGAAAGGAGACCAGTCTGATTTATGCAGGGATTGCCTTGCTGTTCAGGACAGGAAAGATTATTGTGAGAACCCTCCTGAATAGTGTCCTTCCACTTGTTGAAGAGCTGCTTCTGGAATCTCAGTGTAGATCTAGGGCATCAAGCGACACAACTGACATAAATCTTCAGTGCTCACCAGCTGCAGGAAAAATTTTGGGAACAACAAACCTCTCTACATGGCCGCCTTTGACCTCACAGAAGCCTTCAACTCTGTCAACCGAAAAGTGCTTCAGAGGATCCTTCTGAAGTACGGGTGCCCACTGAAATTCATCATCGTTCTTCGCTTGCTCCATAATGGTATGTGAGTAGTGATTCTTGATAATGGATCTATTACAGATCTTTTGAAGTTAAGACAGGAGTTAAGCAAGGCTGTGTCTTTGCTCCAACACTCTTCTCGATATTCTTTGCCACAGTGCTACATCTGATCACAAACAAGCTTCCAGTCAGGGTGGAGCTAAACTACCAAATGGATGGTAAGCTGTTTAATGTCAGCTGATTCTAAGCCAAAACCAAGACCATCCTGACCTCAGTCATCAAATTGATCCAGTAGGCTGATGGTGCTATAGTGTGTGCTTGCTCAGAAGCAGACCTTCAGGCAATTGTCATCTTTACTGAGGCATACAGGAAAATGGGACTGACACTTAACATTCAGAAGACTATGGTCCTCTGTCAACAAGATCTTAGTGGAGCTGGGGTCTGATTATTAATTCAGATTAACTGTGAGACTCTGGAGAATAGCCGATTTTTTAAGGAAGGCTATCAGCTGATACTGATTCAATTTCTGATGCTCCTGGGAGCTTGAAGAGTTGTGTCCAGCTGGTAAGTCTGTTGTGGTGGAAGGGGTGTTATGGGGTGGGAATCAAAGGCCCTGCAGTGAAGGACTAGTGTGGCAGGGGCTGGTATAGCTGGGGCACAGTGAGCCACTGGATGGAACCGTGGCTTGTCCGGGGGGGGGCCCGAGGAGAATGGGGAGCAGCTCCAGCTGCTGTGCACACCCCAGGAGGGCATGGGACAGCGGGGGCAGGCTGGGGCTGGCGCTGGGCTCTTCTGGGGGAGGGTGGGGTGCTGTCCTGGGCTATGCTTGGGGCTGGCAGTGGTATCACTGGGAGGGAGCTATGGGATGAGCTGTAGCCACCTCAAAATTTGCTGTAGCCCCCCTATAGCCTCCCTCCCAGTGCCATTGCTGCCTGCCCCGAGCACAGCTCCGGTCCCAATTCCTGCTCCCCCCCAACATGCTGGGAAGAGCCCACTGCAGCCCTGGTTACAGCCTGCAGCAGTAGGCTGCCCCACCCACACCCCTCTGGGAATTAGTATTCCCTGTACCTCGGAAGGCATTTCGCAGTTGGCTGACATCAATGAAGAAATCCAACATCACCTCAAATGTGCAAATGCAGCTTGAGGATGCCTGAAGAAATGGGTATTTGAAGATCACAACGTCAGATCCGAAACCAAGCTCATAGCTTGTCAAGCAATCATGGTCCCTTGGCAGCTTCCTGTATGGAGCTGAGGTGGACAGCGTACAAGAGATGCCTCAAGCTGCCAGAGAAGTACCATCAAGGCTGCCTGCTGAATACCCTTCTAATTCAGTGGCAAGATGGACACACAAATATTACTGTCCCCCATCAAGCAAACATCACAAGCATTGAGGCGATGATTGATTATGCAACATCAGCTTTTTGCTGGGCTGGCCTGGTCATCTGGGTGTGTTTGACTCAGGCTCCCAAAGCAAGTTTTATTCTGCTAGCCTCGGTCAAGGTGTATACTCAAAAGGAGGACAGAGAAAGCACCTCAAGGACATCCTCAAGGCCAACTTGAAAAAATCCAACATCCACATAAACTCATGGGGGACTGTTGCCCAGAACCACCCCAAGTAGAAGAAAAGTCTGCTACAAGGATCTTAGTCTTTGAAACCTCATAATGACAACAGGAGACAGAAAAACAGGAGCAGCAGAAATAGCGTATTGCTGACTGAATCAAGAACCCAGAGTCACCTACCCTGCATGGAAATGTGCCCAAGCTGCAACAGAATCTGTCGATCCTGGATAGTCTTAGTCACCCATCTTCAGACCCACAGATAAGAGAATCATGGAAGACAGTTATCCTTGACTACGAGGGATTACCAATGATAATGTCCCTTTCCTGTTGGCTCTCCTTTCAAACCTCCCGATCTTCCTGGAAGATGAACCTGGAATATATATCAAGTAGCAATCTGCAAGGGCCCTGTAACTTCCTGCCCATTATGTTTGACAGCCCAGCTGAGTTCTGTGCGGGCCGCCTCCCGATCCCATCCATGTCGCCATGTGCGAGCTGGGAGCGATATGCGGACCCGTCTTTGCGCACACGGGCTGTGGCCAGCAGCCCGGGCACGCGGGGTCAGAGGAAACCGTGCGGCGGCAAGGCATGCACGGGCTAGAATTAGTCACAGAGGCGTAGTGGTTGATTTAAAGATTGTTTATTACACCAAAGATGGTCGCGGTGCAGGCAGGAAAACTTGCTTGAGTTACAGTTGCAGATAGAAAAGATGAGAGGTGAACTAGAGTTCCTTCCCGTGAACACTCTTCTAGCCCATCCGGTTGGAGGCTCTAAACCGCGAGCCCGTTGTGCCAACCGAAGAAAGTACTCGTACAAAAGAGCTCTGAATAAACTCACACGAAGTTTGCTAGGCTCCGTGGGTCCTTGTGCGCGCAGGGAAGAGGGATACGTCGTGGGTCTGTTAGGCTCCGCAGCGCTTAGAGGTCTTCACACAGCGTGAAGTCTCCTCCTCCTGGTGTTCGTGGAGTCCTCCAACTTGGGCGGAAACCACTCAAGCCTTTTATACGGCTAGCAAGCCAATCACTAGCCGCCACTTGTGAATAATTTAGAACTGGCCAATAATGGGGCTCAAATTAGCATACAAATGGCAGGAACTCTTTGCAACGAGCATTTCTGTGCTGCAACAAAGAAATGCACCCTGCAAAGAAAGCTACTAATTGGCGGGAAATTCTCCCTTGCACTGGGGTTTTCCTCTGCAGCAGAAAACTCCACCGTGCAAAGAAGCTGCAATTTAGCGGGAAAAATAATTCAGTGGTGCCAAAGCGCACACAAAAACAAAAATCACAACTTTGGGTTGTGACAAGTTCCAGCCCAAATATGTGAAAAGTGAGCAGTCTTACTATGGAAGATATTACAACCTTAATAGGTATTCCTATCAGCCACCTCTTTTATTATTTTAGTTCGTGTATGTTAAAATATAGCTTATTATATTGAGGGTAGTTATTGACAGATTTTCCCTGCATGTCTAAGCATATTTTCTGTTTTTCATCAAGAAGAAGTTCTGGCTCCTGAAAATACTCTTGCGTAAATTTCTGAGAAGCACCTGTGTCCTAGTTTCCAAAGGGATTGTCCGTTTTTCTTAAGATGTTGGTTATCATTTCCGAAAAGATGCTGTTGTTTTCTTCTGCACAAAAACAGTGTTAACATTTGTTAACCTTTATTTTTTCCTCAGTCTTACCTTATTACAGAATGTTATTAAAACATGTTTCAACTTGAAATAATATGTTTAGAGGTGCACTGATATATCAGTGCGATATCGGATCAGCACTGATATAAAGAAAATTGACTGTTGGAAATTGGCCTGATGTGGCCAGTAATTTGGCTGATAAATGGCCCATGCATGCGCACAGCTGCAGCGCAGCACGTAGGCAATGAGGAGCATAGCCTGGCAGCTTGGAGAGCTGTGTGCAGCTGATAAGTCGGTTATGGTGGGGGGAGGAAAGGGGGTTGGGGGGAGGCAGAACAATGACCCCACGGTGAGGGAGGGAGTGGGGCTGTAGCAGGTGCTGCCCGGGTGGGGCGGAGCATGGGATGGAGCCATGGCTCATCTGGGGAGCGCAGAAAGGGGCTGCAGCTCCGGCCACTGCATGCACCCCGGGAGGATATGTGGGGGCATGTGCCCCAGATCTGGGCGGGGTGGGCTGCCACTGCAGACTGGGACCGGAGCTATGCCAGGCTCTTCCTGGCATGGGGGCAGGGGGGAGAGTTTGGACTGAGGCTGCAGTCGGGGCGGGCATTGGCAGTGCTGGGAGTGGGGGCTATAGTGGGTATATAGCAAACTTTGGGGTGACTACACCCCCTCCCCCCGTAGTCCCATCCTAGTGCTGGCGCCGCCTGCCCCAAGTGCAGCCCAGGCCCCACCCCCTGCCCCACCCTGCGCAGATCCTGGAGCACATGACCTGGTGCCCTCCCAGGGTGCACACAGCGACCAGAGCTGCACCCCACTTCTCCCTCACCACAGGGGCCTTGATTTTCCCCCCCAACAGCCCTTCCCACCCTCCACGTCTTCCACCACAACAGACTTACCAGCTGGACACAGCTCTTCAAGCTCCGGGTATATCAGAAATTGGATTGGTATCGGCCAATATGCCTCTTTAAAAATCAGCTATCAGTATCGGCCCCTAAAATCACTATTGGTCCACCCCTAAATACGTTAAATGGACAGAATATTTTTACATAACATTACTTGTGTGCAATTAATGGTTTCTTTTATAAACATGTCTGTGCTTTGCAGTGAAAGCTGAGAAGAAAACAGTACAATTTAGTGATGAAGTTCAAGTAGAGACAATAGAACCTGAACCTGAACCAGTTTATATTGATGAAGTAAGTATCATAAAAATACTGATTTTAGCATTTGATATGTTTAAACCAATTAAGTGCAACCTTTTGAGCCTGAGGGCCAAAGCCATTTCAAAATAATATCAAACAACTAGATTTCGGAGGGAAATAGGTTTGTACTTGTACTCTCATGCACATATACTTGCGCTTGCTCTGATTAGTTTGAGGACCATTTCTCCAGTCTATCCAGGTTATTTTGAGTCCTAGCTCTACTCTCCAGTGTGTCTGCAACAGCACCCAACTTGGTGTCATCTTCAAATTGCTCTACGTGCTCAATCCCTTCCAAATCACTAATGAAGATGTTAAACGATACCGGACCTAGGACCTCTGGGGAACCCCACTTGATACCTCCTCCCAACAAGATATGGAACAGTGTCTTGCTTAGATTTCTCATAAGTTTCTATGAAACTGAATAAGAGAAGGTTCAACACTGCTTCCTAACAAAATACCAACTGAGCATGAAGTGATGACTTAGTTTCTCAGATTCTCCTTTATTTCCCCCATGTTGCTTGCAGGTGCCCATCTTGGTTGTCTTTTGCAATCACTCTCCTCTGTCTTGTTCTCTGAAAAATGCCTCTGTTTCCTTCCCTTGAATCCTTCTACCTTGATTTCCGTTCTAAGCTACCTCCAGAATTCAGACCCTATTTCAGTCCACCTATGTTGTTCTGCAACACGCCCAGATCTTTCCTATGTCTCTCTTCCCTTTATGTTGCTCAGAAATATCTTTGCTCTTGAAAATTCCCTATTCTGTCTTTTTCTCCTGAAACACCCCCTTCTCTACTAGGGTCCTACCACCTGCTAAGATCAAATGAAGTGGGGCACCTTAAAATCAGTTGTCATTTCTCCCCTAACTTAATAAGTGACATCTGCCTGTACTGTCATCCTTAATACTTTCTCTCCAGTGAACCCCCTGTGCTCCTAGGTTGAACTCAGTGGAAAAGCACAGCTGATGCAGGCTAACACACTGAAAATGTATATGGCCAGCCTTCATCATGATAGCATGTGCCTTTTGCCCACGAGGAGAAAAGCCTTAAAGGGACAGCAGCCCAAAGTTATTTTTAACTCTTTTGTTTTTCCCTTCCCTATGTTTGGGGGGGGTGGGGGAGCTGTTAGGGGGGTGAAATATATTCAAGTTAAAAATTTCCCTTTTGATTTCAGAATCATACTGAAGAGTGTCACTTATCTAAACTCTTATTCTAACTTTTGATATTCATCTAAAATTCTATGTAATTTATGTGAATTTTTTAAAGACATTTGTGCTCAGCTGCCTCCTTTTCTGAGTGCCTGTATAAAAGATTGCATCCAAAATCAGTTAATCACAGAACATTATATGCAAGCACTTGGAGTTCAACCATTAACCCCCTTCTCTTCCCCCGCCCCTCCAAAAAAAAATAAAAAAGATGCTTTACAAGAAGCAGTAGCATAGTAGTTCATCTCGGCTTCTCAGTGTCTTTGTAGATTCAGGTGCTCCAGCAGGGCATTTTGGAACTCTTTTTCTAAAGATGATTCAATCAGGTATTAGATAAAAGCACCAAAAAAGCTCCACTAAAGCGCCCGATCTATACAGATGTTGGGGAGCCGGGTCCAAATAATGCGCTGCCTCTTTGGGCATGCACTGGGCACAGCGTGGAGTGTATTGACTTCAAAGTAAAGTGCCATTTTTTTAACAACTGTAAGCAGCTTGTGTGCATTGTTCAGATACTTTCAAATTTATTCCACTAGGTGGTAGCATTGCATATGTAACTGAGGTAGAATGAACCAGAAACTACTCTCTCAAAACAAAATTCTAAGGAATGTTTTTTCATTGGAAGACTTGTAGGCTACACTTCACTTTTTATGAATACCAATTTGATTATTTTGTTGCCTTTTTCTCTTTTCATTTCTTTTTCTTTCTTTCAATAACATGCATATGTGCTTTGCATATTAAAATTCTGTAAGGCAAGTGATAATCTTTTGAAGCAAGCATAAACTCTAAATATTCATAGGGAAACAGTTTTCCTGCTCTTCTGCTTGTTACGGATTTTTTAATTGGATAACATATGTGGTTGGTACATACTGCTGCAGTAATAACCATTATTAGTGATTGAAATTTTTATATAAAGGCACATTTTGGGCATAGGTGTCAATTGGGGGAATGAGAAGAAGGAATATTGCATTATATTAATCTTTATAAATCTGGTATAAGGGCAGGTAACTCTTTTTCTCTAGCTAATGCCCTTGCTTTCATGGTAGGATAAAATGGACCAACTTTTACAGATGTTACAAAGTGCAGATCCAACTGATGATCAGCCAGACCTCCCAGAGCTACTTCATCTTGAAAGTAAGAAAAAAATTGTGTTCTTTTTCTAGTGTATAGTTGCATGGATTTGCTCTTTTAGTGAGCACATGTTTATCTGGGGTTGAAATCTTTTCACTGATAGCATCTGGAATTGTACTTATATTAAAATGCCCTTCTTCCCTCTCATCCAAGAGATCAGAATATTAAGAATGTATCCCTTATCCTTCACTTGGAGGGAGTCATGTTCTCACTCCTTATAGTTCAGAGACTCATCTCCCACCCATCTACATTCCAATGTTGGGCAGCATGGTAAATGTCATAGAATCATAGAAGTAGGGTCGGAAGGGACCTTGTAGATCTTCAAGTCCGACCCCCTGCCTGGGCAGGAGCAAAACTGGGCTCAAATGACCCCAGCCTGGTAGGCATCAAGCCTCTTCTTAAAGACCCCCAGGGTAGGAGCCAGCACCACTTCCCTTGGAAGTTGGTTCCAGATCCTAGCCGCCCTAACTGTGAAGTAGTTCCTACAGATGTCTAATCTAAACCTACTCTCCAATAACTTGTGGCCGTTATTCCTTGTTATCCCGGGGGGCGCTAGGGGAAACAAGGTCTCCCCCAAACCCTTCTGGTCCCCCCTAGTGAGTTTATAAACGGTCACCAGGTCCCCCCTCAGCCTTGTCTTGTGAAGGCTGAACAGGTTCAGGTCCCATAGCCTCTCATTGTAGGGTCTGCCCTGCTGTCCCTGGATCATGTGGGTGGCCCTCCTCAGGAGCCTCTCAATGTTGTCCACATCCCTCTTGAAGTGCGGCTCCCAGAACTGGACACAGTACTCCAGCTGTGGCCTGACAAGTGTCACATAGAGGGGGGAGGATCATCTCCTTGGCACTACTTGAGATGCACCTGTGGATGCATGATAAGGTCCAGTTAGCCCTGCCGACCGTGACCTCGCATTGTCGGTCCATGTTCATCTTGGAGTCAATGATGACTCCAAGATCCCTTTCTGCCTCCGTGCTCTCAAGAAGGGAGTTTCCCATCTTATAAGTGTGCTGCCGGTTACTACTGCCCAAGTGCAGCACCCTGCACTTGTC